TAACTAGGTCCGTCCTTGTCCAGCTTCCTTTCAAAGCTTTCCGTCTTTTCTTTCAAAAACGTAAGAATCTTCTCCATCTTTTCCATTATTTTTCCTCCATCTCTTCCATTGGCTCTTTCGGTTTGCAATAAATCCTCTCATAAACTACTGAGTCTATTTGTCGAATCTTTGCTGACTTTTCTCACTTCATCCAAAAGTTCTTCGGAACTTGCACTAGTGCTTGCACTCCTGCTCACTACAAGCTACGTTGGTACTTTCTACACTTGTTTGCTATCTTTCTTGGTAGTTCCTTCCTAAATCCATTTATGGATTCGCATAGCTTCCTCCACGGTTCTTATCGTCTTCTGATAAAGTAAACCAACCATGTGACTTCAACCAAAGTCTTTGAAAAAAACACTTATTCCTAATCATCAAGGGTGTAAGCCGACCTAATGGATCGAAAATAGATGCATTTGTATGCAGTACTGTCCTCTTTGTAATCCGCTGAAGTGCCTGAACGATGCACTAAATGCCTAGTACGTCTTTTTTGGGTGTTCCATTCGATCCCTAGGACTTTGCTTCCCAGTGAAATGCTTCTGCCGCTCTCAGCGAAGTTTTTTCTCACGTGTATTTCATTGGTGAGAAATTCCCTCATATTCATATGAGCATCAAAGATTTTCTTCGCATCGCGATATTGCTCAACTGCTTCCTTCTTCGATTCTGCTGTCATCAGTAGATTAACAACATATAAATTGTCCTTCATTAGCTCTGCAGTATTCTTAACATTTGCTGTAGTTTCCAACTCGAAATTAATAGTTGCTGCAAGCAAAAAGGGTAAAGAAATGAGGCCAAAGGTCACCCTTGTAAATCTGTATGTAACGACGTTCTTCTCTCCATATGGCTTTCTGAAGTCTCTTAACCATAGGAACCTTGTTGCGTCGCGATCAACTTCATGCAGCCTGACTTGTAGAAAAGCCTTTTCAATATCGGCTGTAATCGCTACATTTCCAATTCGAAATCTCATCAGCATTCCACAGATATTCGGCATGATGAGTGGACCAACAGCTCGTTCAGCGACGGCTATCCTTTATAGTGAGCCGAAGCGTCAAACTAACCGCTTAGGAGTGGTTCTTTTTCCTGGGGTCTTTACTACTTGATATGCTAGATAATGAATGACATTGCTTTTGGACCTGTATCTGTCCATCTCTTCTGTCAATTTTTCAATTATTCCTTTTTCTAACTGTTCCTTGAAGATCTGTTCAAGCTCCTGCAAGAAGTCTTTGCGATCTTCGTACTGTTTTAAGAGTGCCTTAAGTCTTGCTACTGCAATAGACTTATTGTCAGGAAGGTGATCATGAGCTTCCTTCCATGGCAAACGGACATAATCTGTCCGGTCGTTTCACTGTTGTTTCTTTGAATTTCTTCAAAATTCTGTCATCCAGCATCTTTTTCTCTTCCTTTTCTGACTCTGTATACTCTTCCGTACCTGAGCACTCCATTTCCAAATATCTCTCCCATACTTCTAAATCCTCATCTCTACTTTCCGATTGTACGACGGTGAAGTTTCTGGTCTTGTGAGTTGTTTCTTGCCTGACAGCACATATCCAAACTTGGTGCATCCCAGATGGCAACTTATGCTTTTCGCTATCCATTACTTCCCTTAGATAGTCACATCCTAATAGTACGAGGAATTGACCGCTGTCCTCCCCTTTTGACAACATCTCTAGCTCATTTTCTTCTATGTACTGGAGATCTTCTTCCGTTAATTCTGGATACACCGTTTTGCTCGTTATTCTGGCGCTTTCAAATAGTTTGCATTAATGTGAAGTCTTTTTTATCCACAAATTCACTTGTACAATCCGATGGTTTTGCTCCTTAGCCAGCTTTGTTCCAAAACTCTTAAGA